TCCTTGTTAATCTAAGCACCAGTCTTCAGCGGGGAAGCGACACACACAAGCCATTAGCCTCTGTTCTTCGAGCTGCTGTCTTTCTGCTGTACGCGCCTTGGGAGGCTCATGCGATATGCAGCACGCAAGCTATCTGGAATAACCTATCCAACCGAAGTGAAGTATGGCCGACTGCGGGCGACCGCAATTTTCTTGCCTTGGGTCTTCGCAGACGATTGCGAGCATCCGGGGAGAGACGCACATAACCCGCACACACGGACTTAGTCCGGACGGTGTTTTCAAGCGAATCGACGAACGCGTGTCATCGGAGACGTGACTTCTTCGAGACCAATGGAACTTGGCGGGCGACGTGCTTGTAACATTCTCGAGGCGGCGGATTCGACGCTACATCGTACCTCACCAAGAGGGCGCTACTGGATGACCGGCTGCTGAAGAACCGAAATCGAATTGCACATGGTGAGTATCTGGAAATTGATGCCGATGCTTACGCCGATCTGAATGAGATGATCGTTGGGCTAATGAACAGATTCAAGAACGATATAGAAAACGCGGCCGCTACGAAGAGTTACTTGGCCCACGCGCCGGAACTCGAAGCGCTCGATTGACGACGCTCCACTGACACTTTCGAGATGCTCCAGCGCGTCCATCAGGGCGACTCTTGTGGCCTCGGACCGAAACCGACGTGGGTCGCGCGGGCCGAGCACTCACGGAACGATTATGTCCCGAGGCCACACCATGCTCGCTACTTGAAGGCTACACTGAGGCAGCCGGAAGTAAGTTCCTCGCCAGAGCGGGGAGAAGTGTACTCGGCGTACCTACCTGTCTGCTTCTAACAGCGACCAGGAACGCAGCACCGGGGTGCGGCCCGGGTCGGAGCTGGTCAGGCGCGCGGCCAGCCGCAGCTCGGGGGCATCCAGGTCGGCCAGCGAGTCGCCCGGGCTGACGCCGGTGCGCAGGACGGTGCCATCCGGTGCGGTAACCGCGAACTCGATGGCAGTGGCCTCGGGTATGTACACTTCGGCGCCGAAGCGGCCCCAGCCGGAGACGGGGCGCGCGATCACGCCCGAGCACACCTCGCCGTCGCCGCGGCGGTGGACGGCGATGCTGGCCCGTACCTCGCCCGGCAGCAGGCCGCTGCCGTGCAGCGCCAGCTCGTCGATCAGGCCGGCGAATGGAGCCGTCCCCCGGTCGTGCTGCATGCCGATGTAGAGGTGGTCCTCGGCAGCGCGGATGGTGTCCGCCTGCTCGCCGATGTCCTGGTGGCGGCTGCGGCGCTGGTGGTGCGCCTGCCAGCGCGGGCCGGCCGACTCGTGCCAGTCGCTGATGGCGGCGGCGTGCTCGGCGCTGGCGGGCAGCGCGAGGTTGTCGTTGGCGTCCACCTCCCCGTCGAGGTAGAACAGCACCCGCTCGTACGAGTCCAGGGTGATGCGTACCGCCACCGCGACGTGGTACCAGCGGCCGGCCTCCAGGGTGGTGGCAGCCAGGTTCTCCAGCAGCGGGATGACCGGCCACTCCCGCCGCGGCGCAGGCACAGCCGGCCGCGGTGCAGCCCGATCCAGTAGTGCGGCAGCTTGGAGACGATGGTCTGGGTGCGCTCCGGCTCCTCGGTGGAGATCCACGCTTCCACCGTGAACTCGCGGGCGATGCGCAGCTCCGGGCACTCCAACACGTAGCCGTAGTCGTCGCGGCCATCGAAACGGAGCGCCGTGCCGCGCTTGCCGGCAACCCAGGCCGGCCCCGCCAGCTTGGCGTAGTGGGGCCCGCCGTCGTCGGCCGCCACGCTGCCCTCGCCCTCGTCGAAGCGCCAGTGCGCCACCGTGGAGTCCGCGCCGCACGGCGCCCACCTCGGCCAGCTCCACGCCGCGGTAGGCGGGGCGGAATAAGCGCGTCTCCAGGAAGGTCCCGAAGATCCCGCTGCGCTCGCCGCTCTCATCCTTGTGATCGTGGCTGTAGTAGATGGACAGCAGGCGGCCGTCGGCTACCTCGGTGAGCTGCGGGTAGGCGAAGTCGGCGCCCAGGAAGCGCTGGTGGTCCAGCACCACCTGCTGATGGGCGACGTCCCAGGTCGCGCCGTTGTCGAACGAGGCGGTGGCCACGATGCGGCAGTTCTGGCGCTGCCCGTTGACCGCCACCAGGGTGCCGTCGGTGAGGGTGATCAGGTAGGGCTGGCTCGGCACCGGCGAGTGCCACAGCGCCGGCCCCGCGGCGCTCCAGGTGCGCCCGTAGTCGGTGGAGGTGGTCTGGTAGTAATACTCCCCGTAGCCCTGGGAGCGCATCAGCATCACCAGGGTGCCGGGAATCAGGGTCTCGGTGACCTGCTCCTCGTCGGGCCCGCGGAGATGGGGGTGGGCGAAGCGCTCGAAGCGCAGCCCGCCCAGCTCCGCCACGTCGGCGTCGCGCGGTAGCTCGGCGTCCGCGTCACGCAGTACCAGCATGGCCCGCACCGACGCCGGAAAGGAGGTCAGCCCCGCCTCCCGGGCGCCGGGACGCTGCCGCGCCACAGGAACTCGCCGTTGGACATCGCCAGCTCCGGCGACGCCGGGTAGAAGTGGTCGCCGAGCGGCGGCAGGGTGACCCAGGTGCGGCCGTCGTCCTGCGAGTACAGCGCGTAGGCGGTGGCGATCTGGTGGCCCTGGGTGCCCGCCTGCTGCCCCGGGACGCGGCTCCAGGCGCCCATCCACAGGGTGCCGTCGGCGGTCTGCACCAGGTCCTCGGGACCGCCGGCGTCGACCGTGCCCGGCAGCGTGAAGATCACCCACGGCTCGCTCCAGCTGCGCCCGCCGTCGGTCGAGCGCGCCGCCACGGTGCGGCCGAAGGAGCAGAAGCATGGGCGCTGGCCTCGCGCCACGCCGCCAGCAGGCTGCCGTCCTGCAGCGCGCGCAGCAACGGAAAGAAGCCGCAACGGATGTTGCGCGTCTCCGATTCCGGAAGTGCGGGCTGGCGACGTCGATCCCCTCGCTGCGCGCGTAGTCGCGCAGGCTCACCCCTTGCGGCACCCCGTAGCTCGGGTCGGCGGGGCTTACCCGCACGTGCGGCGCGGAAGGCACCGGCGGCGGCTCCCGCAGCAGCGCCACGCCGCGGCGCCCGTAGACGCGGTCCCAGTCCCGGAACCGGTCGCTCCAGATCGCTCCTGTATCACCATACTCACCCCCTGTCAGCGGTGACTAAACGGGTCGGCGGCGTCGCGCACGCCGTCGCCGACGAAATTGTAGCAGAGCACCGCCACGATCACGAACAGCCCGGGATCAGGTACCACGGGTTGTTGCTGAACCACTTCCACCAGCGGATGTAGATCGGCCGATACCGTAGCGGAACTGGCCGCGGTCGCGTTCTCGCGCGACCGCGGCGACACCTGGTCGGAGCGGGTACAACGGCCCGGCATCGGCTACAGTGCGAGCTGGGATGGCGGCGGGTCGTGGCACTATCAGGGTATGCTCTACCGGTCGCCCGGTCCCTACCAGGGCTGGGCCACCGCGTGCGGCTATCCGGGCGTCGTGCGACTGCCGGACGGCGAGTTGCTGTGTGTGTTCCATACCGACTTCGTGGACGATGATTGCGAGATCCGCGCCGTGCGCTTGCGGGAGGTGATCTGATGGCGCCCCACAATCGACCTGACCGGCTACGGTCTGCCCTACTGGCTGGACATCGAGCGGCCGCGCTACCCGGCTCTGGCCGGCGACGTGCGTGCCGACGTGGCGATCGTCGGCGCCGGGATCGCCGGGCTGAAGGTGGCCGACGCCGCCGCGGAACACGGTCTCGACTGTGTCGTGCTGGAGGCGAAGCATGTAGGCGAAGGCGCGTCCTCGCGCAACCAGGGCTGCATCGTCACCGGGCTGCCGGTCTCCTACGGTGAGATGGCGGCGCGGTGCTCCCGCGACGTGGCCCGCTCCCTGGTTCAAGCTCGCCACACAACACAGGTAGCTTGCGGATGAGCAATGGACCGCCATGGCATCGCCTGCGACTACGAGGTGTCGGGCGAGTGCGTGCTGGTGCGCGGCGACCATGCCGACCTGGAAGCGGCGCTGGAGCCGCTGCGGCGCGATGCGGCCCTGATGGCGGAGGACGGCTTCGCCGCCGAATACCTCGACGCGGCCGCGGCGCGCGCCGTCACCGGCAGCGCCCTGTTCGCCGGCGGGATCCGCTTCCACCGCGACGCGCAGTTCCACTCCGGCAGGTTCGTGGTGGGGCTGGGCGCCGCCGTGGCGCGCTCCCCGCGGGTGCTGATTTGCGAAGAGTCGCCGGTCGTTGCATTGGAGTCCTCCGGCGCCGGCGCCGCTCACCTGGTACGCACCCCGCGCGGGAGCGTGAGCGCCGCCCACCTGTGCGTGGCCACCAACGCGCTGGTGCCGCAGCTCCTTCCGGCCCTCACCGGCACGCTGCGCGCCGAGCGCGGGCAGGTGCTGGTGCACCGCGCCCCTGACTGAGCGTCCCTGCCGCGGTTGCTTTGCCGCCGGCACCGCGTGGTGGCGCGAGGTCAACGAGGCCGACGGCCGTTTCCGGCTCCTGTTCGGCGGCGCCCGCAACCGCGACGAGCCGGACAGCCTGTTCCCGCAGTACGCGGCCGACGGCCGCCGCAACGCCCGCATCGGCAGCGCCGGGTTCCGGCCGACCCTTGCCCATCAGCGGCGCCTGCAGGTGCTTCTGGCCGAGCTGTTTCCCCACTTGGCCGATGCGCCGATCACCCACCGCTGGGGCGGGCTGCAGGCGTTCACCTTCGACGGGCTGCCGGCGATCGGCGTGTTCGACTCCGAGCGGCGCATCCACGGCCTGGCCGGCTTCTCCGGACTCGGCAACTCCTACTCGAACGTAGGCGCGGCGTACCTGGCGGCGCGCATCGCCGATTCCGGCGACGGGCTCCCGCCACGGCTGGCGGAGACGCTGAAGCTGCTGCTGGCACCGGGGCGCAGCGGCGCCCGCTGGCCCGGAGCCGAACCGACCCGGGCGCGCACGGGCGCCTACGGACTGGTGCGCCGCGCCACCAGGCGTCGGCCACGGAGATGAGCGACATGGCAACCGGCACATCGGCACAGAAGCTGCGCAGCGTCGACAGCGGGCAGGGCGGGTCAAGGGCGTGGTCGCGCTCCTGTTCACTCCGTTCACCGCCGACGGGAAGCGGTTCGATGCCGCGAGCATGCGCCGGCAACTGGACTTCGTGCTGGAGTCCGGGGTGTCGGCGGTGGTCGCCTGCGGCAAGGCGGGGAGTTCGAAGGACAGAGCCTGGAGGAGATCGAGGAGGTGCTGACCATGGTGCTGGCGCATGTCCGCGGGCGCGTCCCGGTGGGCATGGGCATCATCAGCGTGGAGGAGGATCGTGGCGTGCCCGCCGCGGAGCTTGCCGCCCGCTGCGGCGCCGACTTCGCCATGACCAAGAAGTTCGGCAAGCGCGATCTGCACGGCTTTTTCAGCCAGATCGCGGAGCGGATCCCGGTCATGCTCTACGACCAGACCAACGAGGGCAATCTCGACGTGGCCGGCGAAGTCCTGCCGCTGGTGGAGACCATCGAGCGGATCATGACCGTGAAGGTGAGCGGCAACGTGTACGCCTTCGACCAGCTCAAGCAGGCCGCCCCGCAGGTCGCCTACATCTGCGGCTGGGACACCTTCTCCCTGCCGGCCTACGTCTCCGGGAGCGACGGCGTCGTGGCCGGCAGCGCGGCGTTCATGCCTGAGCGCGAGGTGGATCTGCACCGCCTGGCGCAGGCGCAGGCGTGGGACGACGCGCGGCGGCTGTTCTACCACCGCATGCTGCCGATGATCGCCTACTGCACCCCGGATCCCTACGCCTTCTCGGTGTGCAAGCACATCCTGCACTGGAAGGGGCTGTTCGACTCCCCCGTGGTGCGGCCGCCTTACCTCAACGCACCGCCGTGGCTGCAGCGGGAACTCCGGGAGCTGGCGCAGCAACTCGACCTGGTCGACGGGGCCTGAGCGCACGCCCGATGGAGACGCCCCGACACTCGCAGTTCTGTGAGGTTAGTCTCTTTGCTCGTCGCCCGATCCTGCGAGTCGCTCCTGCGCATTCTTGGCAACCGATAGTTGCGCACTCTCGGGAGATCCTTCGGCGTGTAGAAATAGATTTGACAAACCTGCACGCCGCGGCCTGCCCACCGGACGCCGATCGAGTAGATCCTATGTCCTGGACGCTACGTCGATGGGCACAACCAAGCGCTGCGCGAGCTGCTGCCGACGCTCGGCGATCGCGCCTCGGAGCGTCTGACGGTGGCCGTCACGTCGGAGTCGAGGTGCCGCCGTGTTGTAATCTCTCGCCATGGCTTGGCTTCTATTCATCGACGAAAGCGGTCACGACCGCTCCGCATCGCCCTACGAGGTGCTGGCCGGAGTGGCAATCCAGGACCAGGCCGTCCGCGCGGTCATCCGCCGACTGCACGAGGTAGAGATCCATTCGTTCGGCCGCCGCTACAGCGACGGGCCCCGGGAACTCAAGGGCAGGGTTCTACTGAAGAAAAAGGTCTATCGTCACCGGGAGCTGAACGCCGAAGTCGATGCGGCGGATATCCCCGCCCTTGCCCGCGCCGCTCTCAATGACGGCGCGCGGGCGGATGCCCGAATGCTGAAGGCCCTTGCGATTGCGAAGCTCAACTACGTCGCCTCCGTCTTCGAGACCTGTGCGGAGCTCGGCTGCCGCACGTTCGCCAGCATTGTCGAGACCGATGCCTGTCCCACGGCCACCGGCGGTCTGCGGAAGGACTACGCCTATCTGTTCGAGAGGTTCTTTTACTTCCTGGAGGACAACACACTAGGGAGCAGGTATCGTGGTCTTCGACGAGCTCGAGAAATCGCAGAGCCATCTGCTGATCGACCAGATGCACCGGTACTTCGCGGACACGATGGTCGGCCAGCAGCGATCCAGCCGCATCATCCCCGAGCCTTTCTTCGTGCACAGCGACCTCACCACCGGCGTACAGATTGCTGATCTAGTCGCCTATGTCATCTCATGGGGCTTTCGCATGGCCCGGATGACCAAGCCCGCGCGGCCCGAGCTGTCGCAGCTCTCGAACCAAGTTGCCGGTCTGCGCCACCGGGCCATTCGCAAGCGGCTCGGCAACCCTGAATTCGAGATCTGGAGTTTCGCTCATATCACCGACCTGCGGACGCAGGCCGAGCGCGATGAGGTGGCGCCATAAAACCCAAAAAAAGGCAATGAAGCGCCGAAGCGGCTTCAAAGCCTCCACGACGATACTGACCACTCCCCTGGGGGGCATGTCAAGCCTCGGTCCTGATCTGATCGACTTCGAGGTCACTACTTCCCTGGGAAGGGAATGTTGTTACCGTTTCGAGGCCGGCGACGGTCCTGATGCGGAATCCGCGGCTATCGACGATCCACCACTCTGTTCGCTTGGTCCACGTAGGCGCCGTCTCGCAGCAAAGGCGCGGAACCGGTGCAGTCCAGCCGGGCAGAGTGTTCCACATCCGCTCGAAAGCCTGCCCGGGCAAGGTGTTGGCCCGACACGGACGCCAACACCGTCCCGAGGAGGTCTGAGGTGCCGCTCTCGAAGGCCGCTGGGCAGCCGTGGCCTCCCGGCGACTTGCTGCCTTGCAGGTGGCGGATGACGGCGCCGGCACCGATCAGGTCTTCGACAGCCGGCCTCAGGCTGCCGTCGTCCCAGCGCTCGCCGCAGGGAATCACGGCGACCGTGCGCCCGATGCGGCCGGCGTATGCCGCCACGGATCGGATGTTGCGCAGGCAGCCGGCCAGCGTCGGCGTCCCACCCGTGGCGAGCGAGAGTGTGGAGCCGTTCGGGGGCGGAAGGACCAAGCGGGCTCAGCCCGGCTTCCGCACCTCGGGTCGGTCCCAGAGACGGCGCTTGGGCGCGAGCACGGCGAGCGCGTAGACCACGACGATGCCGCCGGCCGCGAGCAGCGCCGCCGGCAGGCCGGCCACCTAGCCCCACCGCGCCGGCCAGGGTCGAGCCGACCGGATTGAGCCCGAAGGTCTGCGCCAGCAGCCCCGTCGACTGGTCGCGCCGCGACGACGGCACCGTCACCTGCACCAGGGTGAAGAGCATCACGTCGTAGACCGTCATCCCCACGCCCAGCGCCACCGCGATCCCCACCGACAGCAGGAAGGAGCGCGACAGCGCGTAGCCGATCAGCGCCACGCCGCACAGCATGCACGCCAGCACCGCGACCGATCCCTTGCTGCGCAGCTCGCCCGTCGCCGTCAACACCATCCCGAACAGGATCGCGCCCAGCGAGCCGGCCGCGGTCAGCACCCCCAGGGCGCCGGCCCCCACGCCCAGCACGTCCCGCGCCAGCACCGGCATCATCGAGCTGACAGAGAACACGCACATTTCCATGAGCATGCTCATCACGAACACCGCCCGCACGCGCGCCACCCGCAGCGTACGGAGCTGGCGCACCAGATCCAGGAACATCGGCCGCCGCCCCGTGACCGGCGCGCGCCCGCCCACCTCCGTCGACAGCCCCGTCAGCGCCGCCGCGGCGCCGGCACGGATCACCGCGAGGAGCAGGAACGCCGCGGCGAACCCCAGTGCGGAGATGGTCACGCCGACCAGAGCGGAGCCGGCCATTCGGCCGATGTTGAAGGTCAGTTGCCGCGCGCCCATCGCCCCAGCCAACTGCCCCGGACTCGGGCCGCCTGCCGCCGCGCGGCCGGTCGAGAGAGATGGGTACGGATAGGGAGGGAGTGCCACTCTTTCTTTTGCGTCGCTCACTGCCGGTCAGCATCGCGGCGGCCACCAAGTGCCACAGCGCAACATGCCGAAGCGCAGCAGCCCGGCGACGCGATCACACACCAGCGCGACATAAACACCGCCTGCACCACCACCAGCGTGCGCCGCCGCTCCACGCGCGCGGCCACCACCCCGCCCAGGCCTCCGCACGACAGCAGCACGAGCCCTCGATGCCGAAGATCGCGCCCACCAACGCGAGGTCGGTCACCTCCAGCACCAGCCAGCCGGTGGCGATGACGCGCGGCAGCATCGCGCCGGAGTCGAGCAGTTGGTGGGCGAACAGGCGCCACAGGTCCGGGGTCAGGAACGACCCTCTGCCCCCGGGAACGGCGCGCTCCGTGCGGATCAGGTTTCTTGCGGACCGCTCGAGACGGCGTAGATGAGCGCGGCCTGGAAATAGAAGCGCAGCCGCAGCGGCCGGCCTTCCAACTCCGCTCCCGTCGCCTGCCCCCAGCGCAGCGGCAATGCCTGCGCGTCCATCGGCCCCTGCACGATGCAGCGCTCCTTCTCGTAGCCCGGCACCACCCGGTCCTCGCCGTCGACGAGCTCCGCCATCAGGTAGGCGCGGTTGTCGCCGTTGTCGATGCCGGGAGCCGGCACCGTCGCGTTCAGGCGCAGCGAGCCACCGTCGTGCGTAAAGGTGCGCGTCTCGAACACGCCGTTGGAGACGGTCTGCACGTACGTCAGCCGATCCTCGCCGATGCCCCAGATCTCGTTCCCCTGATGAAAGCGCAGCATCCCGCCGGCCACCAGCGGGTTGTGCGAGATCACCACCGGGCCGGCGTGCATGCCCCGGAACGGCCGGTCCCAGCGCAGGCCGTCGCGGCTGATCCACCACTCGGTGTCCAGCATGCCCGGCCCGTGGCCGTCGGGGCGCACCGGCGCGACGCCCGGCGGCATGAAGCTGCCCACGTAGTTGAGCACCTGCAGGAAGCAGGTCTCCCGGTACAGGAACGGCCGCGCGACGTAGAACTCCAGGTCAGGCGGGTCCAGCTCGTCACGCGTGATCTGATGCTCGCGCGCCAGCAGCGGTCCGCCCAGGCGCTTCATCGCCGCCACGCCGGCGAAGTCGAACCCCGGCTGCATGCCGTTGGCGAAGTCGTTGGGGTCGTCCGGCGTCCATCGCAACCCGTCCGTGCTGGTGCGCACGACACCGTGCGCATGCCGTCGCGGATCAGCTCGTTGAGCGGCTTGTCCGGTTCGCGGACGACCCCCTTGTTGTAGCAGATGAAGCGGTGCGCCGCCGGGCTCCACATCGCCCCCCAGTTGTCGCCCTCGCGGTACACGGAGTTGTGCGGGCTGGGCTCCCAGCGCTCGCCGTCGCCGGACACGAACGCGTGCGTGTCGAAGCTGCCGCCGTAGTCGCGGCTGTTCTTGAGCACCAGGTAGCGCTCCATCTCCGGGCTGTAGCTGACGGTCGCCGTGTGCGCCCACTTCGAGTTGGGCGGCTTTGTCGAGGTCCGCCCTTCCAGCACCACGCGCACGTCGCGAAAGCTCGTGCCGTCGTCCGTGTTGGCGCGCAGCACCTGCCACGGGATGCCCTTGGCGCCGCGCACGCCGAACACGTCGAAGCCGCCTCCCGCAAGCGGCCGGCAGAACGACACCCGGAACGGCGGCGGCTCGCAGTCGGCGAGCTTGCGCAGCCGGGATGCGCCTATGGTGGTGTGGCCCCAGACGTTCTGCAGGTCGTCGGCGTGGCAGAAGCGCAGGGTCATGCGCCGCCCTCGCCGCCCTCGCGGAAGTCGACGGCCACCTTCAGCGCGCCGTCGCCGCACGTGCGCGCCAGCTCGTAGGCGTCGGCCACGCGCGCCAGCGGCAGCCGGTGCGAGATCAGGCCGTCGACGTCCACGTCGCCGCGGGCGATCAGGTTGAGCGCCAGCTCGTAGAGCGCGGAGCCGGTGCCGTCCCTGATCGAGGAGGACTGCGTGTGCGGCCGCTTGCGGAACCACGTCAGGTACGAGAACTCGAAGACCGGCTGCTTGGGCACGCCGAACAGCAGCAACTGCCCGAACGGGCGGACCAGCTCCACGGCCAGGTTGACCGAGGCCGGCTCCCCGGCGGCGTCGATGACGATGTGCGGCTCCACCCCGCCGGCCGCTTCCGCCACCGCCGCCGGCACGTCGTCGCCGGCCGCGTCGATCACGTGGTCGGCGCCGAAGCGCAGGCCGGCGGCGCGCCGCGCCTCGACCAGGTCCAGGCCGATCACGGTGCCCGCTCCCATGCGGCGCAGCATCCGGTCGAACAGCAGGCCGATGCCGCCCTGCCCCACCACCGCCACGGTGGCGCCGGCCACGTCGCGCAGCTTGTTGCATCCGGAGATCACCGTGCCGAGCGGTTGCGCGACCGCCAGCCGCTCGGCCGGCACCCCCTCGGGAACCCGCACCAGCCCGTCGAGGCCGATCGCGAAGCGCTCGGCCATGCCCACGTGCGGTGACGGTATCGCCAGCACGCGCTCGCCCGGCTCGAACGGAAAGACCGTCTTGCCGCGGTACTCGACCGCCTCCACCACGCCGATCACCTCGTGCCCGCTCTGGCCGGGTTTCAGCGGGTAGGCGTCGGCCGGCTGACCGTAGACCGCGAGCAGGTCGCTGCCGCAGATCGAGATCAACTCGGGCCGGACGATCGCGTAATCGGCCGCCAGCTCCGGATCGGCGACGCTGTCGACCCGGACCGTGCCGGGTGCGGTGACGTGTGCCGCTTGCATCATGGACTCCTTACTCGTGCGTGCTCAACTCGTGCGTACTCACGCGGTGACCGCGAAGATCCGCGCGCCGCGGAAACAGACCCGCAGCCGCGCCCGCCGGCCGGCCAGCGCCTCGGAGGTGGCGCCCTGCCAGCGCAGCACCAGCCGGGTGGCGTCGATCGGCCCCTGCAGCAGGCAGGCGTTCCGGTCGTAACCGGCGATCACGCGGTCCTGGTCGTCGACCAGCTCCGCCATCAGGTATGACTCGTTGTTGTAGTTGCCGAACCCGTCGCCCGGAAGCTGCAGGTTGAGCCGCAGCGGCCGGGCCGGCACCGTGAAGGTGCGCGTCTCGAACAGGCCGTTGGAGCGGGCGCTGACGTTGGTCAGCCGGTCCTCCGGCACGCCCCAGACCTGGTCTCCGTTGTAGAACAGCAGCTTGCCGGCCGCCTGGATGGGACCGGCCAAGATGCTCGTGCCCACGTCCTGGCCCCGGAACGGTCGCTCCCAGGTGAGGCCGTCGTCGCTCACCCACAGCTCGTGGCCCAGGGTGCCGGGGCCGTGGCCGTCGGGACGCATGGGCGGCAGGCCGTTGGGCAGGAAGCTGCCGCAGTACGTCAGCACGTTGAGGAAGTAGCGTCCCGCGTAGGTGAACGGCCACGACGCGTAGAACTCCAGGTCCGGCGGGTCGTCCGCGTCCGGCGCGACGTGGAACTCGCGCGGCACCAGCGGCCCGCCGACCCTGCGCATGCCGCGCGCCCAGCGCATGCCGAGCTTGTAGGCGTTCGGGGCCGATGGGCTCCAGGTGAGCGCGTCAGGCTCGATGCGGATGCAGACGGTGCGGTGCGCGTCCAGGAACAACTCGTTGACCCGCTTGTGCTCGCAGCGCAGCCAGCCCTTGTTGTAGGTGATGTAGCGCCCGGCCGGGCTGCTCCAGATCGCCCCCCAGCGGTCCCCCTCGGTATAGACCGGCCGCTTGGGCGCCTCCTCCCACGACTCTCCGTCGCGGCTGAAGAACGCGTAGGTGGCGAAGCCTTCCGGCACCTCCGCGTTCTTCAGGCACAGGAAGCGCTCCTGCTCCGGGCTGTAGCTCACCGTGGCCACGTGCTGCCAGTAGGTGCGTCCGGCAGGCTGTAGTCGTCCGAGTCGAGGACGACCCGCGCGTCGTCGAAGGTGCTGCCGTCGGCGGTGCTGGCGCGCCAGAGCTGCCACGGCGTGCGCTTGCCGCACTGGTAGCCCAGCACGTCCCAGCGTCCGTCCGCGCCCTCGGTCGCCAGCGCCATCAGGAACGGCGGCGACCCGAGGTCGGACATCCGCCGCAGCGGCGTCGCCTCGATGCGCGTGTGTCCCCACACCACCGGCAGGTCGCGCCGGTCGATGAACAGCAGCCTCACCATCCCCTCCTTCGCCGACCGCGCCGAGCTCCAGCTCCGGTGTCAGCAGATCGAGTTGCGCGTCGCCGTAGCGCCCGGCCTCGGCCGCAAGCAGGTCGAAGTAGTGGCTCCTGGCCCGTTCGCAGCGAGGATCGCTCGCGTCGTAGAACCGGTTGTGCAGCTCGTCCGGGTCGGCGCGCAGGTCGTACAGCTCACAGCGGTCGGTCAGATTCCACACCAGTTTCCAGTCTCCGTCGGTCACCATGCGCGACGAGTAGTGACCGTACCAGTCGCCGTGATACTGCGCGAAATGGACCGGGCGAGGCCACGGGGCGCGCCCGCGCGCGAAGTCCACCAGCGACTCGCCGTGCAGCGGCCCCGAGCCGAAGGTGGAGACCGGCTGCCCGGCGACGAGGTGGGCGGCGGTGGCGGTCACGTCGGTGAGGTTCACCGGCTCGCGACCGGCGCGGCGCGGCTCGGCACCGGGCACGCGCAGGATCATCGGCACGCGGTAGATCTCGTCGTACAGGTAGGCGCCCTTGCTGGCGAAGCCGTGCGAGCCGGCCATGTCCCCATGGTCGGCGGTGAAGACGATCGCCGTGCTGTCGTAGAGGTCCAGCTCCCGCAGCCGGTCCAGCAGCCGGCCGACCAAGTGATCGATCAGCTCGATGTAGGAGAAGTTGCAGGCGAGCGCGCGGCGCAGCTCGTCGTCGGATCGCCGGTTGCCGGCACCGCCCGGCTGCGCCTCCAGCGCCGCCAGCTTGCGCTGGTAGATCGGCTTGCCGGCGAAGTCGTCGAAGCGGTTGGGCCACAGGGGGATGTCGGCCGGGTCGTAGCGCAGCCCCCACTCCTCCGGCACCAGCCACGGGCCGTGCGGGCCGGGAAAGGCGCAGAACAGCAGGAACGGCCGGTCGGGGGTCGCGGCTGCCCAGGAAGTCGCTGGCGTAGCGCGCTGCGACGCCGTCCGGAAAGTCGTCGATCGGCACGTCCACGGTGCCGGAGTGATCCGGCTCGACCGAGCGCACCATCGGCCAGTGGTCGGTCGATGGATGCACTGCGTGCTGCCCAGGAAGGGCGGATCGGCGCCCGCCTGCGTGCCCGGCCGCTGGGTGTGCTCGAAGGCGCTGGCGAACAGGTCCTCGGCGGGCCGATGTGCCACTTGCCGAAGTAGGCGGTCTGGCAATCGGTCTCGGCGGCGGCCCAGTCCTGGATGGCGCGCACCGACGGCGGCAGGTGCCGGCAGTAGGAGTACTCGGGGGTCGAGTTGTTGAACAGGTGGTGGCCGTGCGGGTACAGGCCGGTCATCAGGCTGGCGCGGGCCGGCGAGCAGATCGCCACCGGCGTGTAGCCCCGGTCGAAGACCACCGACTCGGCCGCCAGCGCGTCCAGGTTGGGCGTGCGCACCAGCGGGTTGCCGTAACAGCCCAGCAGGTCGCGGCGGAGCTGGTCGCAGAACATCACCAGCACGTTGGTCGCGCTCATGGGCGACGATCATAGCGACCTTCCGCTGGAGCCGTCCGGGGGGTAGCCTGAGCGCGGAGGCGAATGCGGCATGAGACGTGATCACGAAGGCAGGGTGGCGCTGGTCACCGGCGCGGCGCAGGGCATGGGGGCGGCGTGCGCGCGGCGGCTCGCGGCCGGCGGGGCCGCGGTGGTGCTGTTCGACCGGCAGGCGGAGCCCCTGCAGGAACTCGCCGGCGAGCTGGACGGGCTGGCGTGCCCGGGCGACGTGACCTGCGCCGCGGACGTCGATGGGGCGGTGGCCGCCGCGCTTGCGCGCCACGGGCGGCTGGACATCCTAATCAACGCCGCCGGCATCATGCTGCGCACGCGCTTCTTCCAGTTGGAGGAGGACGAGTTCGACCGCGTGGTGGCCGTCAGCCTCAAGGGCTCGTTCCTGACCAGCAAGGCGGTCGCGGAGCCGATGCGCCGCGGCGGTTTCGGCCGCATCGTCCACTTCTCCTCCACCGCCGGCCGCACCGTCAGCACCCTGGGCGGCTGCCACTACACGGCCGCCAAGCACGGCGTGCTCGGCCTGACGCGCGCGCTGGCCAAGGAGCTGGCCCCGCACGGCATCACCGTCAACGCGGTCTGCCCCGGGCTCATCGACACGGAGATGGTGCGCGATACCGTCACGCCGGAACGGATCGCCGCGTACGAGGAGAGCTTCCCGGTCTCCCGCCTGGGCACGCCGGAGGAGGTCGCCGAGGCGGTGGCGTTCCTGACCAGCGAGCACGCCGGCTACATCACCGGCGCCCCCATCGACATCAACGGCGGCGGCTTCATGGGCTGACGTTCGCGAGCGCTCCGTGATACGGTCACGCACGTTACAACCGGCGCCGGAACGTTGCCCGGCCCGATGATGACAGGAGTGGTTGATGCCGCAGACCTCGCTCGCTCCGCCCGTCGTCGTGTATCCCGATACGGATGACCTTCCCATGCCCGAAGGTGGCTTCCAGTTCAACGCCGTCAGTTATGCCGTCCTCGCGTTGCGCGTGCACTTCGCCCACCGCGCTGATGTCTTCGTCGCCGGCAACATGTTCATCTATGATCAAGAGGGCAATCCCAACTCTTCTCTGGCGCCCGACGTGTTCGTCGTCTTCGGCATTCCCAACCACACCCGCTCGACCTTTCTCCTGTGGGAGGAGCGCACCCCCGACTTCGTGATGGAGATCGCCTCCGCCAGCACGGTCGAGCGCGACCGCGTGGAGAAACGTCGCCGCTACGCCACGCTCGGGGTCAAGGAGTACTGGCAGTACGACCCGGTGGGGACGCTGCTCGAGCCTCCGCTGCACGGCTCCGTGCTGGACGGCGGCGAGTACGCGGCGCTGCCGTCCAGGGCGTTGGCTGACGGGGCCGTCGAGGCGTACAGCCCGGTGCTCGGTCTGCACGTACGGATGGCCGGCGAGATGCTGCGATTTCACGACCCGGCGAGCGGGCGCGACCTGCTGACCCACCAGGACGAAGCCCGCGCCAGGCAGGATGCCGAAAACCGGCTCCGGGACGAAGCCCGCGCCAGGCAGGACGCCGAAGCGCGCATGGCTGACCTCGAAGCTCGCCTCCGCGCCTTGCAGCGCTCGTCTTCTCCCGAGCCTCCGTCGGACGATCAGAGACGCTGAGGCTTTGCCGGCGCGGTGGCGTATACTGCGGCGCCATGCTGAGCGAGGCACAAGTCCAGGAGTTCCATGACCAGGGATTCGTTCTGGGCAACCGCGTACTCAGCGACGCCGACGTGGACGAGCTGCGTGGCGAGCTGGAGCGCGTCCTGACCGCCACCGACTTCCCCGACGGCCGCCGCCCGGTGCGCTGCGCCGACCTGTCGAAGAACGAGGGCCGGCCGGTGTGGCAGATCGTCAACATCTGGCAGGCCAGCGACGCGTTCGCCCGTCTGACCCGCAACCCGTCGATCGTCCGCGACGTGGCCCGCATGACCGGCGCCAAGGAGCTTCGCGTCTGGCACGACCAGGTGCAGTACAAGCCCAGGGACATCGGCGGCACCACCTCCTGGCACCAGGACTCGCCCGCGTGGCCGGTGCTCACCCCGCCCGTGCAGATGTCGGCATGGGTCGCCCTGGACGACGTGGACGAGGGCAACGGCTGCATGTGGATGGTCGAGGGCTCCCACCGGTGGGGATCGGCCAAGGAGCTCCTGCGGGACATACGCTACGACTCGGAGCTGCCGGCCGAATATGACGGCCATACGATCCTGCAGGTGCCGCGCCCGGTGCCCAAGGGGCATGTCCACTTCCATCACGGCCTGACCTGGCACGCCTCGTTTCCCAACACCTCCGGCCGGCCGCGGCGCGCCATCGCCGTCCACTACATGCCGGAGACCACGCGCTACGTGGCGGCCAACGACCACACGATGAAGCCGCATATCACCGTCGCCGACGGCGAGCAGATGTCCGGCCCCGTCTTTCCGCGGGTCTACCCGCTCGAGACTGCCGAACCGGCCGCCGCGGCGGCCTCGCATACCTGAAAACGGAGCAACTGATGAAACGACGCATGAACGGCGGCCAGGCACTGGTGCGCTCGCTGGCCGCCCAGGGGGTGGCCGTCACCTTCGGCGTGCCGGGCGCCGGCCAATACGAGGCGGTCGACGCCTACTTCGACACCGACGGCATCCGCTACGTCTCCTGCCGCAACGAGCAGCCCACCACCCAGATGGCCGACGGCTACGCGCGCGCCAGCAACCGGCCGGCCAGCGCGCTGGTGGTGCCGGGCGCGGGCCTGTTCAACGCCTGCGGAGGCATCTCCACGGCGCTGCGCTCCTCCTCGCCCATCATCGTCATCAGCGGCTCCCCCGAGGACCGCCTCAAGGGCGCCTCCTCGAGCCTGTGGCTGGAGCCGATCACCAAGTGGTCGGCGCGCGCGACGAGTCCTGCCGAGGTGGCGGCCAAGGTGCCGGAGGCGGTGCGGGCGGCCTGCTCCGGCCACCCGCGGCCGGTCTACCTGGAGGTTGCCGCACCGGTGCTCACGCAGGAGGAGGAGGTCGAGATCGCCCCGCCGGCCACGATCGAGCCGCCCGCGGGCGACGCCGCCGCGCTGGAGCGCGCCGCCGCCATGCTCTCCGACGCCGAGCGGCCGCTGATCCTGGCCGGCACCGGCGTGCACCGCTCCGGCGCCTCCGCGGCGCTGGCCGCGCTGGCCGAACGGCTGCCGGCGCCGGTGGCGACCACCACGGCCGGCAAGGGCGCCATCTCCGACCGCAGCCCGCTGGCGCTGGGGCATGCCCTGCGCGCCTACGCGCCGCTGGTGGAGTTCGCGCAGTCGCGCGACGTCGTGCTGGCGGTCGGCACCCAGGCCGGTCCGGCCGGTCTGCTGGGCGTCGACCCGGACCGGGTGATCCGCATCGACCTGGACGCCGGCGTGCTGGACACCGGCGTGGGGGCCGCCGACCAGGCGCTGGCCATCGAGGCGGACGCCCGCCTGGCCCTGGAGACCCTGGCCGCTCTGGTGCGCCCCGGCCGGGCCCAGGATCCCACTGCGGCCATCGCCGCGCTCAACGGCGTGCGCTTCGGCGACACCGAGCAGCTCCAGCCGCAGCGCTCCTACATCGAGGCGCTGCGCGCGGCCATCCCCGACGACGGAATCCTGGCGTACGGCATGAACCAGATGGGCTACTACAGCCGCAACTACTACCGCGCCTACGCGCCCGACACCTACTTCGACCCGCGCGGCAACCTGGGCTCGGCGCTGCCGATCGCCATGGGCGCCAAGGTGGCCCGGCCCGACACGCCGGTGGTCGCCTGCTGCGGCGACGGCGGCGTCCTGTACCACATCCAGGAGCTGGCCACCGCGGTGCTGCACGGCATCGCCGTGACCGTCGTGGTGTTCAACGACAACGCCTACGGCAACGTGAAGCGCTCCCAGCAGGAGGACTTCGGCGGCCGGCTGGTGGGCGTCGACCTGCGCAACCCGGACTTCATCCGGCTGAGCGAGTCCTTCGGCGTGCGCGGCGCGCGGGTCGAGGACGCCTCGGCGCTGCGGCGGGAGCTGGAGCGCGCCTTCGCCGGCGACCAGCCGGTGCTGATCGAGGTGCCGGTCGGCGAGCTGAAGCGGGTCTATTGAGCACCCCCACCGGCTACGCCGACCTGGGCGTGCGCCCGTTCATCAACTGCCGCGGCAACGCCACCGCCATCGGCGGCAGCATCATGCCGGAGCCGGTGCTGGAGGCGATGCGCCAGGCTGCCGGCAGCTTCGTCGCCCTGGAGACGCTGCAGGAACGGATCGGCGAGCGGCTGGCCCGGCGCATCGGCGTCGAGGGGGCCCTGGTCTCCTGCGGCGCTGCCAGCGGCGTGCAGCAGGCCGCGGCCGCCTGCCTGACCGGCACGGACGCCGAGCGCGTGCAGCGGCTGCCGTACACCGACGGCTGGCGCAACCGCTTCGTGATCCCGCAGGTGGACGTGCACGACTACATCTTCCAGGTGATCGCCGCCGTCGGCGGCGTGCTGGTCAAGGTCGGCAGCAAGGAGTCGTGCCCGACGTCAGCAATCGAGGCAGCGCTCGACGAGGACACCGCCGCGGTCGTCCACTACCTGGGCAAGCAGACGCTGGAGCAACTCGCCGAGGTGGTCGCGGTGGCCGAGCCGCGCGGCATCCCGGTCATCGTCGACGCGGCGGCGCAGCTTTGCCGCCCCGCTCCAACCTGACCGAGCCCGTGCGCCTGGGCGCGGCCTGGTGGTGTTCTCCGGCGGCAAGGGCCTGCGCGGCCCGCAGTCCAGCGGCCTGGTGGTCGGCAAGGCGAAGCTGATCGAGGCGGCGCGCATGAACGGCTCGCCGGCCAGCTCCGTGGGCCGCGGCATGAAGGTGGGCAAGGAAGAGCTGATGGGCCTGCTCGCCGCCGTGGAGCTCTTCCTGGACGGCAGTGACCAGGAGGACTACCGCCGCTGGCGCGCCGACGCCGAGCTGATCGTCGCGGGGCTGGAGGGATCGACGGCGTGCGCGCCACGGTCGACGACGGCGACGAGCTCTTCTTCCCCGGCGGCGTGCCGCGCGTCCGCATCGAGCTCCTGGGCGAGCGCACGGCCGACGCCTACGGCGCCCCGCTCCGCGACGGCGAGCCCAGCATCTTCATGGGCGGCTGGGACGGCGGCATGTTCGCCGACCCGATGACCCTGCAGCCCGGCGAGGCCCAGCAGGTCGCCCGCCGACTCCGCGAGGTGCTGACATGAGTGATCCGGTCAGCTCCATAGTTCAGACCGAGCGCACACAAGGCCATCCAACACGACCCGGGCTGTTCGTCAGGACGATCCCACCCTCAGGTCGTTGTTCGGGGCGGCACGCTCGATTGACCCGCTCGTCCGCTCGCGCCAAGCGCACCACTACCTCGTCAAGCGTAAAGCCTGCCGGCGTGGCCTGCGCCAGCGGCTCCGCGAGCAACTCCTGACGGTCCATGACCACAGCCTATCGACTCATTCACGGGATTATCAGTCCCTGTCAGCATGGGATGGCCCTGGCTGTTCGTCGACCTCGGTAGTCAGATTGGCCGAACTGTGATTACTTCTCAGCCAGCTTCTGGTTGATCCGGTCGCCTTGGGAGACGAGGACGTGGAGATGGTCGAAGGTTTGCTTCGTACCTTGAATCTCTCAAACGGAATCGCCATAGTGATCAACTCTCCGGGAGGGTCAGGATTGGCCGCAGAGCGGATGATCAATCTACTCAGATCATACAGCGGCACCGGCGAGTACTGGGCGATTGTCCCGGGCAAAGCCAAATCAGCCGCTACCATGGTCTGTCTCGGCGCAAGCAAGATCCTCATGGGCCCGGCTTCAGAACTCGGGCCTGTCGATCCTCAGCAATTGGTACGCGGTAAGTTCGTCTCCGTTCACCATATCATCGACAGCTACCACAAGCTCTTCCGCGGTGCCGTGAAAGCCAAGGGGAACCTCGAGCCCTACCTCCAGCAGCTCTCGAACTACGACGCCAGGGAGATAGTATCTCTGGAAACCGAAACGCGAATCTAGCTTCCCTTTGACAGTGGCCGTCGTGCTTCACACACAGGATGCTATCTAGCATGACTCCCGATGAAATCAAGCGGAAGATGCAGATTTTCCTGCTCCCACGGCACACGAAGGCACACGGACGACCTATCTACCACGATGAAGCCGCGCGCTGCGGACTCAACATTGAGTTGAGCGATCCAAGCTCCGAAGCTTGGAACCTTGTGTATGAGCTGTATATTCGCACTAGTGAGTTCGTCTCCCATAACGCAGCAAAGGCGATCGAGACGGCCGACGATCTGCTATATTCGCGGCGTCCCTCGGAAAAAGCGGACGAGAACGATGCGCCTAGCAGTCACAAAGCCCACGGACACCGAGAGGTTGGCGCAAGCCGAGGATCGATATAATCGAATCATGGAGAGATCATGGGGAAGTCCCCTTTTTGTTCCAGCCTCGCAGGAGCAGAGACCCACCAGCCCGCCCCGGAAGACTGCGTCCGAGTGAGGACTTACCTGACGTAAAATCTTAAGCGACGGTTCCGGATCGAGTTCCATTGACGACGTTCCAAGCACTTGGTCGAGACTACTACATCCCACTCGTACGACCCGCGTGAGCGTCCCGCATGTGTGGCAGCGTGCGCTTGAAAACGCGACCGAGCTGAAGCTCCCGCCCCGCCTACCGGGCATGCCGCGCCGATCCGCCGCGTTTCCAGGACGGTCCACTGCCGGCCGCCCCGCCGCCGCCGATATCCTGTGGTGCCCCGCCGCACTGTCGCACAGCGACGGCGTCCGGCGAGGCCGCCGAGACGGCACGAGCAGCGCCGTTGGAGAGCGACAGGGTAGATTCTCGGCACGAGCAGAAGTGCAAGCCGGCGGAATCTCCCTTCATCTGCGCGTTCTGCGCGAGGGCGGCCTGGTACGCGTCCGGCAGACGGTCTGGTGGCCGTCGTCCCTGGGGCGGTAACCTGAAGGGAGACAACTGACGATGATGTACCGCGACACCCGGTACCGCAGGAGTAAGCCGCGTACTGAAGCGCAGCAGCAGCTGCCGCTCGGCAACCCAGACCCAGTTCGGCGGATGCGAGAAGAGAACCGCTACTACGTGGACAAGACCGCCTTCTGTTGGCGTCTGGTGGAAGAGGGCGACCGCTACTTTCTGTCGCGGCCGCGGCGGTTCGGCAAGAGCCTGTTCCTGGACACGCTGAAAGAGCTGTTCGAGGGCAACGAGCCGCTGTTCCGGGGCCTGTACGTGCACGACAAGTGGAAGTGGTCGGTGCGCTACCCGGTAGTGCGGCTGAGCTTCGCCAGCGGGAGCTTCCGCAAGCCTGATCTCGTGGACGAAGCGGCGACGGCCCAGCTCGAGGACATCGCGGTTCGGGCCGGCGTCGCGACCCCCCGCGGCAGCGCCCCGGTGCGTTTTCGCCGCCTGCTGGAGGCGCTGTGCGATCAGGCCGGGCAGCGGGTGGTGGTCCTCGTCGACGAGTACGACAAGCCAGATCCTGGACGCGATGAACGACGCCGGAGACGGCCGAGGCAAGAACCGCGACGACCTGCGCGGGCTGTACGCGACGATCAAGGACGCCGACGCCTACGTCAAGTTCGCGTTCCTCACCGGAGTGAGCAAATTCTCCAAGGTGAGCCTGTTCTCCGACCTCAACAACCTCACCGATCTGACCCTGGACCGGCGCTACGCGAATATCTGCGGGTACACCGACGCCGACCTGGACACGGTGTTCGCCCCGGAGCTGGCCGGACTCGACCGCGAGGAGATCCGCCGCTGGTACAACGGCTACAACTGGCGGGGCGACGAGAACGTGTACAACCCGTTCGACGTGTTGCTGCTGTTCAGCAAGCGGGAGTTTGGTCCGTACTGGTCTCAGAGACCGGCACACGCCGAGACGTGTCCCTGATCGATGACGCTCGCTGCTGCGGCGCGGCACGGTGGCATCCCCAATCTCCTGCACGAGTTTGGGAGCGACGACGCCTTGCTGTCGAGGTTCGACGTGCGGGACATGGCGCCGGAGGCGCTGCTGTTCCAGACCGGCTACCTGACGATCCGCGATGAGGAGCGCGCCTTCGACGGCACTCCCCTCTACCGTCTGGGGTACCCGAACCACGAGGTGCCCTCAGGAGTCTGAACGCGAGCCTCCTGGCGGCGCTGACGCCGCCGGACGCGGTGCGCCGGAACCCGGGCCTGACGTTGGTGGAGCGACTGCGAGCGCGCGACTTCGCGGGTATCGAGGGGCTGGTGCGGGGGCTGTTCGCGAGCATTCCCTACGAGTGGCACACGCGCAACGAGATCGCGCGTTACGAGGGCTACTACGCCAGCGTGTTCTACGCTTGGCTGGCGGCGGTGGGGCTGGACGTGACCGTGGAGGACAGCAGCAGTCGCGGGCGGGCGGACTTGGCGGTGCGCTTCGCCGGCGACGTGTTCCTGTTCGAGTTCAAGGTCGTGGAGCAGGCGGCCGAAGGCACGGCGCTGGCGCAGTTGCAGGCGCGGGGCTACGCGGAGAAACACCGCCCCGAGGCGGCCGACGTGTACCTGATCGGGGTGGAGTTCAGCCGCGAGCAGCGCAACGTGGTCGCGTTCGAGACGGCGAGCGGTTGACGGACCGCAACGCCGTCAGCCGCTCAAAACTGATCTTGAGGCGCGTGCCGGTAGCCTGTGCAAACCGCACCAGTGTCGTGGTGGACGGACGCGTGCGCCCACCCTCCAGCCGAGCAATCGCCGACTGCGTCGTGTTCATCCGCTTGGCGAGTTGCTCCTGGGTGAGTCCCGCGCCCTTGCGAGCCAGGATCACCGCACGGGCTATCTCGAACTCCGGACCAAGTGCGTCATAGGCGTTCCGGTATTCCGGATCGTGGCTCCATTTCTTGTGCAGGCGATCTACGTTGCTTCCTGGTTCTCTGTTGTCCAACTCCGCCGTCCCTCGGGAAGTTGGTCACTCCGTGAGTGATCAATCTGGCGATCCTCAACCACACGTACAAGTGGGTGAAGATCGGGAAATAGGCGATTCCCGCCTACCGCTCGACGAGTGAACGGGGTTAGGATGACCCGGTGATCAGGCGCAGGCTGCCGATCGGCATGCAGACTTTCCGCAAGCTGCGGAGCGCGAATGCTACTACGTGGACAAGACCGCCTACATCGAGCGGTTGCTTGACGAGGGTACGCGCACTACTTCCTGTCGCGCCCCGCGGCGGTTCGGCAAGAGCCTGTTCCTGGACACGCTGAAGGAGCTGTTCGAGGGCAACGAGCTGCTGTTCGAGGGCTCCACATCCACGAGGGCCATGGAAATTGGTCGGAGCGCAATCCGGTGGTCCGGCTGGACTTCGCCCGCGGCCACTATCGGGGGAGCCCGGCTCTCTGCACGCCAACGTGTCGGCGCAGTTGGACGGCATGGAGTGCAGGGCCGGGCGTGAGTCCCGCTACGACACGGCCCCGGAGCGGTTCGGCTATCTGATCAGCTCGCTGCCACGAGCGCAGCGGGCAAGGGGTCGTGGTGCTGGTCGACGAGTACGACAAGCCGATCCTGGACGCGCTGGAGCAGCGGAACGTCGCTCGCGCCAACCGCGACTACCTGCGCGGCCTGTACGGGGTGATCAAGGACGAGCGACGCGCACGTGCGGTTCACGTCCTCACCGGGGTGAGCAAGTTCACCAAGGTCAGCCTGTTTTCCCAACTGAACAACCTCACCGACATCACGCTCGATCCGGTGTACTCGTCGATCTGCGGCTACACCGAGGGTGACCTGGACACGGTGTTCGCGCCGGAGCTCGCCGGCCTGGACCGGGAGCAGGTGCGCGAGTGGTACAACGGCTATAGCTGGCGCGGCGCGGAGAAGGTGTACAACCCCTACGACGTGCTGCTGCTGCTGCGCCGCCGCAAGTTCGCCGCGCACTGGTTCGAGACCGGGACGCCGGCGTTTCTGGTGCAGACCCTGTTCGAACGCCGCGTCTCATCGGTATCACTGGGCGACACGGTGAGCACGGAGGATCTGCTGTCGGCGTTCGACGTGGACCGGATCGGCACCGAGGCGCTGCTGTTCCAGACCGGCTACCTGACGATCACGGGGGAAGAGGAACTGGGCGGCAAGGCGCTGTACCGGCTGGGCTATCCGAACCGGAGTCCGCCAGAGTCTGAACGAGCAACTGCTGCGGCAACTGGTGCAGGATACCGCGCGGCAGACGGAGAACAGCATCCGCCTGGCGCGTCTGCTTGCGGCGCACGACTGCGCCGGCCTGCAGGAACTGTTCCATGCCTTCTTTGCGAGCATCCCCTACGAGTGGCACACGAACAACGACATCGCGAAGTACGAGGGCTATTACGCGAGCGTGTTCTACTCCTACTTCGCGGCACTCGGCTACGAGATCGTGGTCGAGGAGTCGAGCAGCCACGGCCGGCTGGACATGGCGGTGCGCGCCGGCGGGCACGTGTATCTGTTCGAGTTCAAGGTGGTGGAGCTGGCACCGCCGGGCTCGGCTCTCGCGCAGTTACGGGAGCGGCGCTACGCGGATAAGTATCGCGTCCGCGGCGAGCCGATCCATCTGATCGGCGTGGAACTCAGCCGCGAGACGCGCAACGTGACCGCCTTCGAGGTAGCCGACGCCTGAGGCCGCGCCGCCGCTCCGTCAGCCGCTACTCGGCCTCCGCCAGAAGCACTTCCTGGACTTCGACGGTGAAGTTGCTGCCGAAGTCCTCGTCGTAGGAGATGACTTCGAGATAGAGCCACTCCCCGGAGAAGCTCTCGATCAGGGCCGACTTGTACTCGTTGCCGTTGATGTAGCCGGCCGATGCCAGCTTCCTTCCGTGGATGCCGTCGTCGTAGACGTAGAAGTGGAACCGCCAGGTGCCGCGGATTTCCTGCTGCGTCACCTTGATCAGGTACATCGTGCCGGGAACCACCGGGATCTTGTAGTAGCTTTCCCCCTCGGCCTGCACCTGTCCGGCGTAGCTGGCGCCGTCGATCGTCATGGGGTCCTGCTCCTCGCCCTCGTTGTCGAACGTCTCCTCGATGACGTGCAGCTCGAAGTTGGCGCCCGATCCCTTGGTGTGACGGCCGTCCACCGAGAAGTAGACGGTGTCGGCCTCGGCGATCACCGACAGGACCTCGTCCTCTCCCCTGAGGTTGTCGGACGTCTCCTGAACGACGGCGAAGTGGGCGTCTCCGTCATGCGCATGCGTGGATTGGTCATCGTCGGACTCCTCGCCGTGAATGGACAGATCGGCATCCATGGTCGGCGACAGCAGCTTGATGGTATAGGGGCCGGCCCGGAGTCGACGCGAAGAAGTAGTAAGCTTCTGCCCTCCCCTACCGCGGACGCGATCTCCTCGCCTACCGGGATCTCCATGGGCTGTTCCGCTGAGCCTTGATCCTGCAATCGGTCGCGCTCTTCGACGGTCAGCGTGAACGGCGTTCCGGAACGGTGTTGTCCCCGGCACCTCGACGTAGAGGACCTCGCTGGTGGTCGACACCGTGACGAACTCGTCCTCGGTGTAGCGCTTGCTCGAGCGCCCCAGCTCGTCCCGGTACAGCGGATCGGCGAAGACCAGCAGATCGGCGTTCACCTGCAGCCCTTCGATGGCTATTCGATAGGTCGATCCGACGGTCAGACCGCCCAGCTCGTACAGGCTCGATCTGCTGCCCACCTGTCCCTCATAGGTGACCTCGCCGTCGAGACGGATCGGTGACAGCGCGCGCGACTTCATCGACATAGGTCTCGCTTCTGGTCAGAAGGAGCTTGAACTCCGACTCCTTGTAGTCGTAGTTGTGCAGGATGAAGTACGCCGCGTCGTCCTTGGGCGTGAACTGGATCCGCTCGTCGTTGTCCTCGGCGTTCGTCGACCGGCCGAGCGAGTCCCGCAGAAAGGTGTCGTCCGAACCCAGGTAATAGATGTCGAGATCGGCGGACAGTCCGGTCATGTCGAGCCGGTATTCGGCGCCCGATTCCACCTGAGCCATGAAATACTTGCGTTCGTGGTCGGAATGCGTCGTGCCCGAGTACTCCTCATCGACGGTCAGCACGATCGGATCGGTCTTGTCGTATCCCTGGTTCTCTTCCTGTGCCCCGGCAAGGATGGGGAGCAGAGCGATGGCAAGGACGGCGAGAACAGTGCGGCACTTCATGGATGCCTCCAGGATCTTGAACGGCGTGATAGTAGACCGGGCGTTCCGGCCTCGCACGGAAACCTACGGCGCTGCCCGCCTTGGGTCAACGCTCAAGCCGCGGCCCGGCGAAGCGGCTGACGGGCGCCGTAGGTCAGGGTCCGCCACAGCCACTCGGCCGGGCCGAAGCGGTACCGGCGCATCCACCAGCCGCTGATCAGGATCTGTCCGGCCAGGATGGCGGCCGCGATCACGAGCGCCAGTGACGGCGATACGCGCCGCGCCAGACCCAGGCCGTATCCGTAGAACAGCAGGGTCGCGATGATCGACTGCAGGAGGTAGTTGGTCAGTGCCATCCGGCCCATGGCCGCCAGCGGCCGTAGCCACCGTTGCCATGCGGCACGCTGCCAGAGCAACGCGATGCCGGCGCCGTAGGCCATCGCCAGGAGCGGGCCCGCGACCGTTCCGTTCACCCACAGGCACATCAACGCGCTCAGCGCCGGCAGTAGACCGGCACCCGTGGCCGACAGCGCCGCCACCGGCAGCCCGATCACCAGGCCCCAGGTGCGCACGCGCCGCAGCAGAGCCCGATGATCGGCCGCTTGCCGGGCCAGTGGCGGCGGCCGGCGGCCAGCCCCAGCACGAACATGGCCAGCACCGTCGGCCCGATGACGAGCTGGATCCACGCGTTGCGGCCGTAGATCCCGACACGGGTCGCCGCCGTGCGCGCGAAATCTGGCTCCAGGTAGGCCGCCGTCGTGGTTCGCGCCTCGGTGACGGAACTGCTCCGCCGTCTCGCGATCGCTGGCGGCGATCTCCGCCGCGCCCTCGGGAGACGCCCGTCCCAGCGCCAGCGCCCCGAACATCAGCACCGAGGCCGCTGCCGGGACGATCAGCAGCCATTTCACCCAACGGCGCAGGATCTCCGGCCGCGCGCGGCGCAGGGGGAGCAACAGCAACCCGAGGATGGCGTAGACCAGGAGGATGTCCCCTTCCGACAGCAGCGCGATGTGCACGACCCCGATCAGGCCCAGCACCGCGGACCGGCGCAGGTACCGCGGGGGAAGCCCCGCGGCAGCGCCGCGTTCCTCGGCGCGCCGGAACTGGGTGGCGAAGCCCCACCCGAACAGGAACGAGAACAGCGTGAAGAACTTGCCCTGTGCCAGGGCGAACACGCCGGCGGCGACCAGTCGATTGAGCGGGGACCCTTCGTACCCGAAGCCGCCCAGGCTCCCCGGAGCCTTGAACCACATGATGTTGACGAACAGGATCCCGCACAGCGCGAACCCGCGCAGGACGTCGACGACCTCGATCCGCTCCGCGTCCCCGATCGGACCAAGTACAGCGGCCTGCTGGCTCACCGTCGCCCCTTCGCGTCGCCGATGACCATACTGGCGACGATAACAGGAACGGCGGCCACGCTTCGCCTCTGGCAGTGCCGCCAGCGACCGTCCACGTGCGCAACCGTCGCTGCACATGACTCGGATCGACGTGGACGTCGACGGCCCGACATTGCGATTCGGATGACGGAAAGCCATGATCACCTCTGGAATGGCAAGTCCACCACTTTCCGGCATGCCGACGGTCGAGCCTTGACCGTCCCTCTTAGAGCGGATCCAGCGGGTGTCTTACGCATAGGCGACACCCATGTGTTGCTGGAGGTTGTGGTACAAGCATTTCAATCTGGCGCCACTCCCGAGACGATCGTCCAATCCTACGACACGCTGAACCTTCCTGACGTATATGCCGTCCTGGCCTATTGCCTCATGCATCGAGAAGAGATCGACGAGTATATGCGCCGCTGTGACGCCGAGGCCGTAGACGTACGCCGCCGCGTCGAGGCGACGCAAAGGGACCAACGCGGCGTGCGCGAACGACTTATGCAGCGGGCGAGGGACGGTCGGATTGCTCCGGCTGCTGAGTGACGAGAACTTCGACAACCACATCGTGCGCGGCCTGGTCCGACGACTGCCGGACATCGACTTGACGTCTGTCCAGGAGCATCAGCACGTGTTGGTGGAGTAGCGAGCGTGAATGACACCCGATTCTCGCCCTCCATTCACGCCTTCTTGCCTCAATGGCGTGAATCTGATACGGTCTCCCACCAATGGCGACCTCGCAGCCGCTCAGAACGCGTATCCGGGATCTCAGACGCGAGTACGAGGCGCTGCGGCTCGGCAAGGAGTCGCTGCTGGCGATGATCGACGAGGCCGAGATCCCTGAAAGCGTATACAACTCGAATGCCATCGAGAACTCGACGCTCACGCTCGATGAGACCGAAAGGATCCTGCTGCAGCAGGCGCTCTCCCGGAACGTGACCGTAAGGGAAGTCTTCGAGGCCAAGAATCTCGCGCGAGTCGTCGAGTACAGCCGCAACAGAGCAGGCGCCGACGAGCTGACGCGCGACCTGATAGTACTCTTGCATCAGATGCTGATAGGCGGCATAGACGATGCCATCGCCGGCCGCTTCCGCCAGACCGGGGAGTACGTCCGCGTCGGCACTCACATCGCCCCGGCGCCCGAGCAAGTGGAGCCCTTGATGGCATCGTCCTTGCTCGACTATTCCAGCGATCTTGACTCCTACTTCCTGGACAGGATCGCCCTGTTTCACCTGCAGTTCGAGACTATCCATCCGTTCTGCGACGGCAACGGGCGCATGGGTCGGGTCATCATCAACTTCCAACTTTGCCAACTAGGATTGCCCTCCATCATCATCCTCGACAAGGAAAAAGACCTCTACTATCAAGCGTTTCGAGACTACGCCGGACGGAACCGGAGCCAGACCATGGAGCGCATCCTCGCCCTGGCTCTTCTGGAATCGTTGCACAAGAGGCTCAGTTACCTGAGAGGTGACGCGATCGTCAGACTGTCCGAGTACATCAGGCGCCGTGGCCTGTCGGCGCCGGCCGTCACCAACGCCGGCCGGCGCCAGACCATTCCAGCGTTCCGCGAGAAGGGAGTGTGGAAGATCGGAGAGCACGACACACCATCCGAGTAGCGGGCGTGAATGAAACCCGATTGTCGCCTTCCATTCACGCCTATTTGCTTCAATGGCGTGAATCCACCTCCGAGTCCCGTGTGTGGAGAGCTACCGGATGTTCGCGGTTCGGCGTCCGCCCCGGCGATCAGAGGAGGCTGTCCGCTCTCAGCTTGGCGACGAACGCGGCGTGTTCCGGCGTGTCGATGCCCCTGTTCAGCTCGGATAGCACGGTGACGAAGTCGCCGTCGAGGAGCGAGTTCACCGCCATGCGCAGACCGGGAAACGTCCGGCTGTGCAGAATACCGTCGGCGGCCGGCGACAAAGGCCTGTACTCGTCGTCGGTCAGCACGAACCAGTCGATCGTGCGATCGTAGACTCGCCAGACTAGGTACTCCAGCACCCCGTTGCGGCGGTAGGCGTGCAGCTTGTCATGCAGGTCGTAGGCGGCGCTGCTCGCCACCACCTCCACGACCAGCTCCGGCGCCCCCGTCACGTAGTCGTCGCCGTCAAGCTGCGATTGACCGATGGCCGCCGACTCGATGCGCATGAGCACGTCGGGCTGCGGTTCGTTATCCCGGTCCAGGCGCACGGTGGCGTTGTCGAGAACCGAGACGCCGGCCGTCGATGCGCTGTAGACGCGCAGCCAGGCCAACAGATCGCCATGCTTCTCGGCATGGGTGGCGCGGACGGGCGACGGCACGTGGACAACCCCCTCTATCAGCTCCGCCTTCTTGATGTCGGGTCTGGCGAGGTAGCGCGCCTCGAACTCGCAACGTCGAAGCCTGTCGCCGTTCTCCAGGGGAATGACAGGAGGCGTGGAGACAGCGACCGCGACCTCCGCCAAGCCGGTCGGCACATCGCCGGTGCCCATGCGAAATCCTACAGCGCGCCGTCGATCGGCGGCAAGGAATCAGGCGAGCGAGCGCAAGACTCTCGCTTCAGTCGATGCGGAACAGCCGGCAGGCGTTACCCGCGTAGATACGCCGCAGGTCCTCCCCGGGCAGTCCGAGCTCCTCCAGGGAGTCGATCAGGAGCTGTATCTCCACCCATGGATGATCGCTCGCGAACACTAGGCGGTCGGCGCCGGCCAGCTCGTAGGCGACGCGCACGGCCGGCGGCCACGGCGACGCGGTATCGAGATGGACCCGCCGGTACAGCTCGGTGGGCGTCTGCGAGATGCGCTCGATGCCGCGCTTCATCACCTCGGTCTGGTTGCGGATGCGGCCCCACAGGTACGGGAGCACGCCGCCGCAGTGCGGCTGCACCACCTGCAGCGCGGGGTGCGCTCCAGGACGCCGCTGAGCACCAGGCGCAGCGCCGCCAGGCTGTGGTCGACCATCAGACCCACCATCGGAATCATCGAGTGATCGCTCATCTCGGCGCCCCACGGCGGCACGCACGGATGCAGGACCAGCGGCACGCCGAGTTGCGCGATGCGGGCATAGACGGACTCCAGGACGTCGTCGTCCACGGGGCCCGTCCCCACGTGCGAGTAGAGCATGACCCCGCGCAGGTCCAGATCGCCGGCCGCGCGGTCCAGCTCGTCGATCGCCGCGGCCGGGCTCTGCCACGGCAGGCAGGCCAGACCGACCAGGCGCTGGGGGTGGCGGGCGCACACCTCGGCCAACTCGTCATTGCAGACGCGCGCAGCCTCCACGGCCAGCTCGCTCTCCAGCAGCTCGGGGCCGGGCATGTTCACGCTCACCACGCTCACGTCGATGCCGGCGGCGTCCATGTCGCGCAGCTTGCGCGCCACGCTGTAGTCCTCCAGGTCGAGCCGAAACGACTGCATGTCGCCGTAGGCGACGATGTAGCGTCCCGCTCCGCCCGTGGTCGTGGGCGATCCGGGGTTGCGCGTCAGCGCCTCGGCATAGCCGGCGGGAACAGATGGCTCTGGCAGTCGACCTTCATGGCGGGCGCAGCGTGCGGTGCGGGCGGCGGGTCGTCAACGGAATGCCGGCGTGCTATACCGATTCGGAGCGAGCGCAACGATGAGTGATCGCAGCTTCCGAGTCGGCGTCGGCGGGATGATCCAGGAGTCGCACTCCTTCTCGCCGGCCAGCTCGTCCCTGGAGCGGTTCCGCTCCGGGCTCTACCTGCGCGGGCGGGAAGTCTTCGACACGCTCGGGAGCTGCCGGCACGAGGTGGCAGGGGGGCTGAGCGAGTTGCGCGAGGCGGCCGTGCCGCTGTTCTTCGCCTTCGCGGCCTCCTCCGGACGGCCGCTGGACGATCCCACCTACTGCCATCTACAGGCCGAGTTGCTGGGCGCCATTCGCGACGCCGGCCCCCTCGACGGATTGCTGCTGGTCACGCACGGAGCGATGGTCACCGAGGCGGACGACGACGGCACCGGCCGCCTGTATGCCGCGATCCGCGAGTTGGTCGGCCCGGACCTGCCGATCGTGGCCACGATCGACTGCCACGCCAACGTCACGCAGCGCATGGTCGACCTCACAGACGCGATGGTCTTCTACCACACGCAGCCGCACGTCGATCACGTCGAGACCGGCGCCCTCGGCGCGCGCATCCTCACGGGAATCCTGCACGGCGGCCCCCGGCCGGCGAAGGCGTTCCGCTCCCTGCCGATGGTGCTGCCGGGCGAGAACGGCAACACCACCGGCGGCGCGTTCGAGCCGGTGATGCGCGAGGTCGGCCGCCGAGGAGCGGCCCGGCGTCCTCTCCGCCGGTGCGTGCGCGGTGCAGCCGTGGATGGATCTGGCCGAGTACGGCTGCACGGTGATCGTCTACGCCGACGAGCAGCCGCTCGCGGACCAGCGAGGCGGACCGGCTGGCGGGACCTCTGGGACGCCCGGCACGACTTCATCCCGGTCCTGACCCGGCATCGACGACGCGATCGCGCAGGCGGCCGCGCCCGGCGACGGCACGTTCGTCTTCGGCGACAGCGCGGACGCGCCGGGATCGGGCGCCACCGGCGACAGCACGGCGCTGCTGCGGGCGCTGCTCGACGCCGGCTTCCGGCGCACGGCGCTCCTCAACATCGTCGACGCCGCGGCCGTCGATGCTGCGGAAGCGGCCGGCGTCGGCGCGCAGGTGCGCCTGACGATCGGCGCCTCGCTCGACCGGACCTTCTACCAGCCGGTGCCGATCGTCGCGCGCGTCGCGGGGCTCGCCCCCGGCCGCTTCCGGCATGAGACCGCGGCCAACACCGGGTTCCCGTTCGACCTGGGCGGCGTCGCGGTGCTGGAGGTGGGATCGATCTCGATCATGGCGATGCGGCGCGCCGTCGTGCAGTGGGACCCGGAGATGTACCGCTGCGCGGGCCTGGAGCCGACGACGTTCCGGGTCGTGCAGGTGAAGTCGCCCGGCGGATTCCGCAACGCCTACGGGCCCCTGGCCGACCGGATCTTCATCGTCGACCTGCCCGGCCTGTGCAGCCCCGACTTCTCGCTGTTCCCGTGGAAGCGGGTGCGCCGGCCGATCTTCCCGCTCGACGACATCCGCGAGCCCGAGCCCTGGCGGGCGGCGGGCTGAACGGCGCGACTCCATGTACTTCTCGTATTCCCGCGAGCACGCGTTCAAGGAAGTCGGCCAGACCCGCCAGCTCTTCATCGACGACGACGTCATCGCCAGCGTCCAGAACATCACGCGGCGCCGCCACTCCCCTCGCAAGCACCCGCCAACCCGCTGATGCGGCGCGATCAGCCGTGGGAGGACACGCCGTACTTCCGCACCAGCGCCTTCGACGTGATCAGGACCCCGCGGACGGCCTGTTCAAGTGCTGGTACGAGGACGTGCAGAACTACTTCGCGATCCGTCCCGGCATCGGCCTCACCGACGCGCGCGTCTGCTACGCCCAGTCCGCCGACGGCGTGCACTGGGAGAAGCCGCGGCTCGGCATCCGCGCGATCGACGGCATGGACACCAACGTGTGCTCGACCTGTCGCCGCGGGCGCGCGCCCGGACGCAGACCGTCATCCTGGACCCGGCGGAGAGGACCCGTCGCGGCGCTGTCAAGATGCTGTACGTCCAGTACGAGCGGCACGACCGCCCGCCGCCCGGGCTGCGGGCCGACGCGCACTCGTTTCCGGCGCAGAACCTGTACGGCGTCGGCCTGCTGCATGCAGGTGTCCTCAGACGGCGTGCGCTGGCAGCCGCATCCGGCCAACCCGATCATCCCCTACTGGGCCGGTGACGTGGAGATCCTCACCTACGACCCGATCGACCGGAAGTACGTGCTGTACGGCCGGGCCCGCAAGTGGACCTCGCCGCGTGCCGGGTTCGCGGCCGGCGACATGCCGGTGTGGCCGGACAAGCCGGACGGCGTGTGGAACACGCGCCGCTGCGTGCATCGCTTGGAGAGCGACGACTGCCTGAGACTGGTCCGAGCCGGTCATGGCCTTCGAGGCCGGCGCCGGCGACAACCTCGACGACGGGCTCTACGGGTTCGTCCCCTGGCGCGTGACGAGATGCACCTGGGGCTGCTCAACGTCTTCCACCAGGTGGACAACGTGATGGAGTCTACTAGCAGCACGGCACGGACAGGCCGCCAGTGCCACCGTCCCCGCTGCAGAGGCACCGGCCGCTCATCCCGCGCGGCCGACCGAGCGTACAGACCGCTCGGCGCCGAGCGACGCGCGTCCACAAGACGCCAGATCGAGTCGGACGACGAGGTCCGGATCTACTACGGGGGCATGAACGTCCACCACGACTGGTGGATCTCCGGCCATGCGGCGCGGCCTGGACCTTCCCGAGGTCCACGACCAGGAGCTGTCGCGCGACGGCCATCACCTCTGTCTGGCGACGCTGCGGCTGGTACGGCTTTGGGTGTCTCTAGCGCCGGGTCTACAACCGGACATCGTGAGACCAAGCACGGTCGTATCTCGATGCGCCCTTGCGTTCGATCAAGCGCCTGCTGCGGCCCGGCGGTTCGTGGAGCGTCGAGCGTCACCGCCGACCCCGCCGGCAGCCAGCTCTAGGCGGCTACGATCGACGACTGCCTGCAGTGCGGCTCACACCCGGTGACGCAGAGTCCTCGGCATCAGCGTGCGCTGGGCCGGCGAGGACGCCGTGAACGTCGCGCCGCGTGGCATCAGCTGTCGCTTCTCCACCTGCGCGACTGCGACCGCACCGATCTGTACGGGTGTCCGCTTCGAGCTCCGAATAACGGCGTCGGCTGGCATGTATCTTCTCGTGACTCTCCCGCGAGCACGCTTCAAGGAAGTCGCTACGGACCGCCAGCTCTTCATCGACGACCGACGACTCATCGCCAGCGGCCAGAACATCACGCGCGCGCCGGCACTCCCTTCAGCCAGCACCCGCCAACACCGCTGAATGTGCGGCGCGACCACAGCGCCGTGGGAGGACACGCCGTACTCTCAGCACCCGCGCTTCGACGTGATCATGAGACTTCCCGGCGGACGGCCTGTTCAATGGGCATGGTACGAGGACGTGCAGACTACTCTACGTTCGCGATCCGCCCCGGCATACGGCCTCACCGACGCGCGCGTCATGCTACGCCCAGATCACGAACGGCGTGTCGAGCTGGGAGAAGCCGCGGATCTCGAGCATCCGCGCGATCGACGGCAACTGGACACCAACGTGGATGCTGCGACCTCGTCTCCGCCCAGGGGCGCGCGCCCGTACGCAGACCGTCATCCTGGACCCGGCGGAGGACGACCCGTCGCGGCGACTTCAGATGCTGCAAGCGGATCCAGTACGAGCGGCACGACCGCCCGCCGTCGCGGGCTGCGGGGCCGACGCGCACTATCGAAACTTCGCCGGCGCAGTGCCTGTACGGCGTGGCTCTGCATGCAGGTGTCCGACGGACGGCGTGCGCTGTGCAGGTCCGCCACCCGTCCAACCCGATCATCCCCAATACTGGGCCGGCGACGTGTGCAGACTCCTCACCTACGACCGTCGAGACAGGACGTACGTGCTGTAACGGCCGGGCCCGCAAGTGGACTTCTCCGTCTCGCGCCGGTTCGCGGGCGGCGACATGCCGATGTGGCCGGACAAGCCCGCCGGCGTATGGAACACGCGCCGGTGCGTGTATCGCCTGGAGAGCGACGACTGCCTGAGCTGGTCCGAGCCGGTCATGGCGTTCGATGGCCGGCGGCACCGGTCGACAACACTCGACGACGAGGCTCTATCGGTTCGTCACCTGATGCTGCGCGACGAGATGCACCTGGGGCTGCTCAACGTCCTCCACCAGGTGGACAACGTGATGGACGGCTACCTGCACTACGGCCGTGACGGCCGTCAGTGGCACCGCCTGCACGAGCACCGGCCGCTCATCCCCCGCGGTCCCGAGCCCTACGACCCGCTCGGCGCCGAGACGCCGTCCACGCCGATCGAGGTCGGCGACGAGGTCTGGATCTACTACGGAGGCAAGAACGTCCACAACAGCTGGTGGATCTCCGGCGTGCGCCGCCCTCGAACATCCCGAGTCCACGCCGCGAGCTGTCGGCGACGGCGCCATCACCTCTGTCTGGCGACGCTGCGGCTGGACGGCCTGGTCCAGCCGCTCAGACACCCGCCGGGCGTGTCTCCACTCGGATCGTGGAGACCAAGCCGGTCTTCTCGATGGCGCCCTTTCTGGCGATCAACGCCTGCTGCCGGCCCGGCGGCTTCGTGGAGGTCGAGGTCACCGACACCGCCGGACAGCCGCTGGACGGCTACGATCGCGAGGCTATCTGCAGTGCGGTTCACACCGGGATAGTCGGTCCGCACCACGTGTGCGGTGGCGGGCGGACGCGTGAACGTCGAGCCGCGCGGCATCAAGCTGCGCTTCCACCTGCGCGACGCCGACCTGTACGGGTCGCTTCGAGCCCGAGTAGGTGGGGCGCGGTCGAATTGCCGCCCGCGCGCCGATCGGACAGACTGCCTGCCCGACGCAGCGAGGAGGCGACCATGGGAACGAAGCAGATCGACGCGTTCGCGGCGCATGCGAAGGACGCGGAGTGGATCAAGGACGGACTGGACTGCGGCCCTACTTCCGGTACCGGGACCTGGGCATCAAGGACGCCACGCAGGCCGGGTGATGGCGCAGGTGATCAAGGCGGCGGAGCCGTGCAAGGGCCCGATGGGCTATCACTCGCACGTCCTGGATTTCCAGATGGGCTACATGGTGAAGGGATGGGCCCGCATGTACTTCGAGGGCTTCGGCGAGATGCGCGTGGAGCGGGCGACACTTGGTACCAGCCTCCCGGCGTCAAGCACGAGCTCCTGGAGTACTCGGACGACTGGGAGGTGATCGAGATCACGATGCCCGCCGAGTTCGAGACCACGGACGAGGTACCCGAGAGCGACAGTACAGCCGGCGTCGCCAAGCATGGCGTCATGACCTGAAGATTGACGGGAAGCGGGCCATCGTCACCGGCGGCAGCCGCGGCATCGGCCGCTGTTGCGCGCTCGCGCTGGCGCGCGAAGGCGCCTCCGGTGCGTGGTCGCGCGCGACCGGTCAGGCCTGGACCGGGTGGTCGAGGAGATCGCCGCCCGCGGCGCGGCCGGGCACGCCGTGGCCGCCGATCTGGCGACCGCGGACGGCTGCCGGGCGGCCGTCGAGCAGGGCGCCGCCGCGCTCGGCGGGGTCGACGTGCTGGTGAACTGCGCCGGTGCCGCCCAGGGGGCCGACGTGCTGGGCCTGCCGGTGGAAACCATCGAAGAGCGCTGGCGCTCAAGAGCTACGGCTACCTGCGCATGGCGCAGCTCGTGATCCCCTTCATGAGACGCAGCGGCTGGGGCCGCATCGTGAACATCGCCGGCGCGGCCGGGACGAGCCCGGAGCGCGGCAACCTGCCGGTCAGCCTGGCCAACATCGCGGTGCTCACACCATGACGAGGGCGCTCTCCGACGCGGTGGCCGGCGACGGCATCCTGGTCAACACGATCTGCCCCGGCCTCACCAACACCACTCGGGCGCGGCGGCTGCATGCCACGCGCGCGGCCGAAGAGGGACGCGACGTGGACGAGCTGATCGCCGAGGCCGGCCGCGGCCTGCCGGCGGGACGGATCGCCGAACCGGAGGAATGCGGAGGTCGCGGTGTTCTTGGCCTCCGGCGCCTGTTCCTACGTGTTCGGCAGCTCCGTCTACATGGACGGCGGCTCCCGCCGCGGCACACCGTGAACGACATGGACACCGGCATCCCGTCCGATCTGCGCGTGGTCGTGACCGCCGGCGCGCGGGGTATCGGCGGGCCATCGTGGAGGGGCTCCGCGAGCACGACGCGCGCGTGCACCTGTGCGACATCTCGCCCGAGGCGATCGCGGAGTGCCGCGCCTCCCTGCCCGGCGTGACGGCGGCGGTGGTCGACGTGGCGGCGGTCGACCAGGTCGACGCCTTCTTCGACGCGGCGCTGGACGCGCTGGGCGGGCTCGACATCTGGTCAACAACGCAGGGATCGCCGGTCCTGCCGCCGCGGTCGAGGACATCACCGTCGAGGACTGGGACCGCACCGTGGCGGTGAACCTCAATTCGCAGTTCTACTGCGCGCGGCGGGCGCTGCCGGCGCTGCGGGCCTCGGGCCGCGGGGCGCTCATCAACCTGTCCTCGGTCGCCGGACGGCTCGGCTACGCCTATCGATCGGTGTACGCGGCGACCAAATGGGCTGTCGTCGGCTTCACCCAGAGCCTCGCCAAGGAGCTCGGTCCCGACGCCGACGGCATCCGCGTGAACGCCATCCTGCCCGGCGTGGTCGACGGCGAGCGGTTCGATAGCGTGGTCGTCGCGCGCGCGGCGGCGCTCGGCCGCGGCACGGCCGAGGAGGTGGAGCAGGAGTACCTGAGCCACGTGTCGCTGCGCCGCAAGGTG